TTTTTTTTTTTTTTTTTTTTGTTTTGCTCTTCTGCTTCTTACTTTTGTTTGGATTTTTTTCTCCTGCATTAATAAACAATATGATCAATAATCAGTTAACGGTGATCATCTTAAAGTTTCAATCGTTGGTTTTTTTTGGCTCAATGCAATATCGACAAGATTGATATCTTTTTGCAAATTGGTGATTACTCTTAATGAGGCAACGAAGCGATAAATTAAAAATATGGGTTTTGGAAAGATGTTGGATGGAATTTGTTGATATTTATTTTTTGCTGTATTTCTATAAAATATTCCAAATACGTTTTATGAATTCAGCTTAAAATAGGAATTTAAATCGTTTTTTGCCACCTATGGTTTTTGAATTGTCAAAGACTTATGCATTCAAATGTCAACAATGAGCTGTGTTGTAGGAAGACAAAAGCTCAGGTCTGTTAGTATGTTCAACATATGGCATTGTTAATTTGTCTAGGTTTTTCATCGTTTTTTTTTCTGAAGCTGTTCAAATGTAATTATAGCTATGTTCTAACAGTGTACACAGACTAAAATTCACTGATCGTAATGCTTGAAATTTTCAAGAAGTAGAATCCTCAGTTTGTGAATACCATGAATAATGAGTGGCAGTATAGAGTTGAAAGCTTTTGATATTGAGGTATGCAAAAAGTAGAAAAGTTTATGTTTTTTACTTATTATCAATTCAACAATACTCTCAGTTTGTCAACAGAATTTCGTCTTTTTTTTTCTATTTTTAAAATTCTTTTGAGTTTTAGCATCAGTATTGTCGAAAGATAGATAACTACGTGAAAGGTTTGCTCATTTTTTTTTTTTTAAATATGGAAAGTTGATGTTTAGTTCATATTTCTTTCCTTTTTTCTGTAAAGCAAAGTTTTCGAATGTTGTTTTTTTTTTCGTATGCTTAAATGACAAGTTAAAAAGATGAGTTACAAACTGTTGTAAGGAAGTTAAACCAAACAAATAAATGGTTTGAAAAAAAAAAAAAAAAAAAGAAATGCAAGGCAAAACCGATGCTCAAAATCACCTTTCTTTCCCTCTTTCCATTTATCCAATTCAGTTGCTCCTTCGTTCGTTTAATTCACTCGTCTTCCCTTTTTTTTTGTTTTTCAATTTTCTTCTTTCTCTTATCTATCATTCTATTGTATTTTTTGAGCGTAAAAAAGAATAATAATGAGCGAAAGAAGTTACTAAGCAGCATTTTCATTGAGACATAGGTGTATTTGCTTTTGCGGTGCCGTTTTGCTAATTTATGAAACCTCTTAAAAATCTAGAATTTTTTTCAACTTCCGCTTTTTTGCACTCTGAATAAGGGAATTGAAAAGAAAAGGAACTGGAAGTTGCAGCGAACAGCATTTTGTTATAGTGCTTTAGATTTTGAATAACACAAATAATTCCAGTTGTCTAACTTCAATTTGCAGATTTTACATTTGCGTTATTTCAAGTTAAAAAAGAATGAATTTTAAACTAGTTTTCAAATTTTTTTCCTTATATTATTGTTGCTTTTCGCAAGCTTCCCCA